TCTCTCTCTCTCTCTCTCTCTCCCTCTCTCTCTCTCTCTCTCTCTCTCTCTCTCGCTGATACTTCCTCCTCCCCTTGTTCCGGCGTGGCGTGACCGGCGTGAGGATGCGATGGATTCGGGTGGACGCATCCTCGTCGCACCCACGCACAGATTGCGATAGGTCTATAGAGGATCGCCCCTCTCTTTGGCCGAAAACCCTCTTCCTCTCCCGATCACGTCGACGTATACTTTCTTGACGACGGTTGTTGCACATGTGATTTTTAGTTGCAGCTGAACTCGCCTTTCTCACATGTACACACACCGCTCACTTGCACTTGGGCGGCTGCAAAACTCGTCACGACCTGCACCACCACACACACACACGCACGGACACACAGAGTCGCGCGCAGGTCAGTGGTGCTCTGCTGCAGCTGGAACAACACACACGCGCGCGCGCACGCACGACGTAGCGCACTCCGCCACGTGTCGCGACCAGGCGCACGCCCCCTGAAACTGTAACGCGGGGTAATCCAACACCCCGTCTGTGGCCCTGTGGCGGCTGCTGCGGCCACGGCAGATGAACGCATCTCAGGCACAACCCCTTTTGGAAGCTGCGCCCACCCCTCCCGACTGCTGAGGGGCGCCTGCACACGCCCGCCAGCCAATCAGCGCGCAGCAGCATCGGCCCCGGACCAATGGCAGCGCGGGGCCTTCCCCCGGCACCAGCAGCAAGGCCTCCAACCCTTACGGGCGACGCGCCGCCCGCAGGTCATGGGAAGCAAACGTTGGACGGGCGCTGGACCTTGTCCATGTCGTCGTGGAACTGCACCAGGACGATCTCGTACGTGGCGACGGTGCCCGCCAGCTGCGGGGCAGAGACGCAGGGTATAGTACATGTATTCCGGAGACGCCAGGCGTATTTAGTTGGTCACTGTATCAGGTGTTATGGGTATCACGAAAAAAAAAAGAATTCGCTAAATTAGCATATGCATTCGCTAATATGGCCTTAGATTAGAATATTAGCTTTCCTAGCTGATTCCCAGCTAAGAAAGCTAAAATATTAGCTTTCACAGCTAGTTGCTTTATTTTGTACACAACTGTCATGGCTAATTTATTAGCTCTCCTTGCTAAGAATTAGCTAGGGAAAGCTTATATTCTAATCTAAGGCCATATTAGCGAATGCATTTGCTAATTTAGCTAATTCTTTTTTTTTTCGTGATATACTTTTGCGTCATAGCGCTCTGATTTTACAGTTGATTAAAAAATCTGTTTTTAAGCTTTATGATTAAATTGTGACCATAGCATCCTAAATTACCCGAAGGTGTGTTCATCACAGTCCCACACTTCCGTTTGCAGCTTGGAGATGTAAAATGTAAAATCACACCCCATCCCCTCCTAGAGATAAAGCGTCAGTCCGTGCTCACCGTCAGCACGAGGGAGCGGGTCACCCAGAAGAAGCGCGCGCCCGACAGCGCCACGGTGTCGGTCGTGGTCTGCACCAGGAAGCGCTGCACCTCGGCGTTGAAGCTCTTGGAGGGCACGCAGTACAGCACCTCGGTCGGGGCCCTGCTCTGCTCGTAGACGCTGGCGGCGGTCATGGAGACGAGCGCGGCGCGCGCCAGCAGCCACGCGAACGAGAAGCAGAAGTAGAGGCGCGAGAAGACGCTCTTCTCCTGCTCGAACCGACTGCAGTAACAGTATGTATAATACCCACGTCAGTGTTGACGTACAGGTTTTCGGTCCGGCAGTGCCATCCTTCTGGCGGGCACTCTCCACCAGGGCACATTGCAGAGCACCGCCGTAAATAAAAGCACTTCGGAAAATGCCTTACATCACAAAACTTAAGTAGTTTACAAGGCAAATTTTCTTTAAAAAGTTTAGAGTGTAACACGTTGGCGCAGCCTCTCTCTGCTTCGTACTGTACCTCATGTTGTACAGCAGCTGCAGGCAGATGAAGTACAGGTTACTGGCGAAGGACAGCAGCACGATGCCGTTGATCTGGTCGTCCAACTGCTTGGTGAGGAGCGACAGCCGGTTGTAGGCCTCGCGCACCTCCTGCCACCAGAATATCGAGTAGTTCTGTCGGACACGGGGAAGGGGTTGTGAGTGGCACCCTTCGGTCCTTTGATAGTAGCTCGGGCCACCTTTTAATTGGGAGTGTCGATGCGGGTGGGGCCCTCCCCCAGGTAACGATACTATAGACCCTCGCCCACCCCTGCACCGGCTTCAAAGTAGCACACGTTTCAAGCCGAGGTATTAATTTGATTTTGACCTTACCACCCCACTATGACGCCAACTTAACATTTACTAGTTATTTGGGGTATGTGCACAAATATAATAAAAACAGCACCGAAGAGTCGGATGGGTTGCCTACCTCCGCGGCGCCGCATCTTACATTCTGTACAGTACCTTTACTGTACTTGCCTTGCCCTTGGCTTGTCTCAGAAACTGGCTGAACGTGTCGAACCGCCTGGCTAACGAGTAGCTGATGATGATGACGAGCAGGTCGATGAAGTTCCACAGGAAAGTGCACGTGACGTTGAGGTAGATGACGATGATGGACACGGGAATGGAGAACGGCAGCACCTCGAATATCTGCAGCACAATTTGACATTGTCTCCGGCAGACTAAATATAGAGTTCTCTACTGTGCCTAGAGGTCCCCTCCGGCCCCTGCTCTGTAAGCATACATAG